TAGGAAGCTACATGCTAGGAGCAGTGTGGGCTGTGAGGAAGAAGGTAGTGGGAGAGGTGAGATGAGGGGTTGCCCTGGAGTGGATCTGGGGTGAACCAAAAAGGCCAAGGCTGACTTCAGGGCTCTCGATTGGCTGAAAGACTTGCCCCTAGAAGTGACCTCCAGAGGAACATGTTGGATGGAAATCCCATGTCCAGCTTGAGCTACCTGCCTCAATGAGATAGTGCGCTTGGGCTGGAGTTGAGGAGGGACTGGGAGACGTGGGCATGGACGTCATGGCACAGAGAAGTCAGGGCCCTGGACTGTGGTTGGCATGGGCAGGAAGAGCACCAGATGGCCATGGGTCCCTCAGTAGACCCCAGAGCCTCTGCCTCTCTGTGGGAGGTCCCAGGAGACCAGCAGGTGGTCATCTCTTGGGCAGCTTTGTTCCCTGGAAAGGTCGCCTCTCTCCTGCAGCTGATAGCTGCCACAGGAGGTGAGGGGCAGGCAGTGCCCCTTCAGGCTCCCAGCCCCTGTCACGGCCCTGTGTCCATGCCCTCCATGTCTGCTGAGCCTCAAAGGGTGGGCTTCACCTTGATGAAAAACCCACCAGCATATCCTAGTCGAGTCGGTGCTGGAGGTGGAGCCCAGGTCTAATGCCTGCGAGGCGAGCATTCTGCCTCTGAGCCCTACCCTGCTGGCATTGAGACTCAGCAGTCCCCAGGAAGCACAGGAGCAGGTGGCAGCATCGAGAGGGAGGGAGTGGCTTCTCGCGCGCAGGTCATCTGGCCTGACCTACCCTGTGCCAGCCGGCACACTCCATGTGTATCACTGTGAGAAAAACAACACAAAGAGAAGAACAGGAAGGAGCCCAGAGGTACCTTCAGCCAGCCCTCAGCCCTCCCTCCTGTGGCCCTGTGCTCAGGGAGTCTGGGAAGCCCTAAAGAGGCAGGTAGAGGTTGAAGCCCGGCCTCTGTGGACCTAAGAGGGTTACTTGCCGACCCAAGCAAAGTGTTGCCCAATGGAGAGGGTGGCTGAGGGCTGAGAGGGGCATCGAGTACTGGGGGTGGGGAGTTGCTCTTCTGGACCCCCTCCCAGCTTTGGGTAGAGGGCTTCAGGGGGGGACAAGGCTTTGGGACCCAGCCTGGGGAGAGGGAGGTGGGTTGCACTGGGCTGAGCTTCTGGCTAGCAGTTGGTTGCCTTGCAACTTTTCTTCCCCTAGAAGACTGAAGGGTCCACACAGATGAGGTTGTTTTCCTGAGGCTTGGCCAGCCTCAGGATTTCTGGAGGTCAGCTGTGGGCAGCAGCTCCATACAGGAACTGAGGATCCAGGGTGCCTGTGCTGGGCTTCGTTCCCTGCCTTTGACCTTGCTGTGACCTTGAGCAACTGGCAGCAGCTGAGTCTGGGTTTCCATTTTTTTCAATTTGGGGATGGAACCTAGGGCCTCCCACGTGCTAAGCAAATGTTCCGCCACTAAGCCGCACCCAGATCTTTTCTTCCTTGTAACTGTTATTACCCTTAGATTACCCTGTGGAAGGACTGAGTACTTGGCATCTGTGACCTGCTGCCAGAACTGCCCTGGGCACAGAGCCACTGGTTCAGGGAGAGCTCAGTTGTCCCAGGAGCACAGGAATGTTTGTGAGATGAGCTCTGGTCCTGGGTGGAGGGTGAAGGCCACCAAGGAGCACCTCCACCACAGGAGTGCACGGTGCAAACGGGTCCCCCAGCTTCTGCGCAGAAGTGCAGCACCCTCAGGCCATTTTGGAGCAGCTCTGCGCTGAGGGCGCAGGGTGTATGCACCCAGCATGAGCCTGTCGGAGGCAGAAAAAGTCGAGAGCCTGGGAACCTGCTGGTCTTGTGCCCGGAAAACCCAGAGTCCTGGGGCTGCCTTCTTTGCCCTGTGCCCCTCTTCCCCATGGTGAAGGGAGTGTGGTGACCTGTGGCTTGTTAGTGCAGCCACATGACTCCATTTGGTGGCCACAGTGTATCCTGGGTGACTGATGACCTCTTCGATTTGGCTGATTGTCACATGAATGGGTCTCCTCCAGAAAGCATGCCACAGGCTGGTGAGGCCACCTGCAGGATGAGTGGGCAGGTGAGGCCCAGGAAGGGCCTTTCGGAGTGCAGCACTCGGGTCAAAGACCACTTGGCAGGAAGAGCCCACAGCATTGGGGTGGGTCCCCAGAAGTCCCACCTGCTGGGGGGGGGCTGCACCAATGGGATGAAACCACCCAGTGGAGACTGTAGAGCCCTGTCTACCAACCTAAAACTGGGGCCATCAAACAGCCCCTCGAGGAAGCCGGTATACACCTGGGCACCTGGAACCCAAGCAAGTTGGCATTTAAAACACCTGCCCCTCCCTGTGTGTGCTCAGGCAGGTCTGAAGCCTGGTGGGGCGCATCCTCAGGCCACCCCTGCAGCACATCCACCCACCTGGTAAAAGGGAGGAGCAGAGCTCCTTGGATGTGTGCTCTGGTTCTGCAGGGACAGACTGGGGCACACAGTGCAGAGCCAGGATGGGGCACGGCAGGAAAAGCAGTGGACACACTTGTATGTCTCGGGTGCCTTTCCTGGACTTTGGGATTTGGGCTTCCGTGACTTGGGGCTGTGTTTATGTATTAAACATTAATAGAATGTCACTGGAGGTCTGTGGAGTGCAGGGTTAGCAAGTAACTGGAAAGCGCTAACAGAAAAACCCTCTGCCTCACGGCTGGTAGAATGGTAGCGCCTGAATCTGCACCTGGGGGGCAGGGTGAGGCCCCACCCCCACCCCAGGAAACTGGTGAGAGCAGCCCTTGACTAAGGCCATTTCGCTGCCTGCTCTCGTCTCTGTGCAGGAAAATGTGTGCACCAGACTTTTCTTAGCCAAGTAGTCGAGGTTCCTGCTGGAGACTTGGTCCACGCACACATCCCCTCCATGTCCACGGCTGCCCTCCCTGCAGGTGCCCCAGCAGAGCCAGCACGCTGTGACCCAGGAAGCCTAGTGTGGCCCACCTGAGGCTGGCAGTGCTTTGTGGGAGCATCCGCCAGTCTTCCAGGCAGGGTAGTGCGGACCTCAGAGCAGCTCTGAGCCATGCTAACACAGGTTTGGTTCCTAAAAGGGAGAAGGGGAGATGGGGAGCCTGTGGCCACAAGCATCAGCTCTGCTGCAGGAATGCTCGCTCACGCAGCTCCCTTGGGCTCTGTCTGACCCTGGCTGCAGCGGATATGTACAAGGCATTGCTGGGAGCTGCCACCTGCTGTGGAGGGAAAGCAGCCCAGGAGCCAGGGGTGGAGGGAGCAGCCCAGCTCCGAGGGGGTCCATGTGCGGCCCCAGCTCGTCTCCTTTCTTTCTTTTTCTTTTCTGACACTGGAGATTAAACCCAAGACCTTCACACTAAGCTACATCCCAAGTTATTTTTTTTATTTTGAGGCAGAATCTTTCTAAATTGCCCAAGCGAGGCTCAAACTTGGGATCCTCCTGCCTCAGCCTCCCAAGTGCTAGGCTTATAGCTGTACCACCGTACCCTGCCTAACCACAGTTTTCATTTCAAGAAGACCCTAGACGCTCCAGCACTGCACCTTCTGGTTAGGGCATCTTTCTCTGTCTTGCTGTGGACCACAGATACAGGCGCATCACACATGTCACGCACTCAACACAAACATGTGCTTTGCGCAGGCACACCCTAGCACACACGCACACAGGCCCATGCTGAGTCACCCCCACTGTACCAGGCACAAAATAGGCACTGAGCAGCCTGCCCTGGAATTTAGGGCAGCTGGCAAGTGGCTGCTGCGTGTGGCTGACGTGCTGCAATCTCCAAACAAGGGCCCTGTGGAGGCTTGCACGGGAGGAGTCGGCGTGTGCAGGGTGGTGTCGTAAGGAAGCAACGGCGACACGCAGGGAGTTGTGAGTGCCAGTCAGTAGCAAGCTGGGCGGAAGCTGGCGGGCACTGGAGTGGACGTTACTGCATGTGGCTGCTTTCTGCTTCGCTTGGGGCATGATGACCCACACTCCACATCTGCTAAGATAGTGTCAGTCATTTATATAGCCAAGATTTAAAAGCCCCTTACCCAGGCCTAGGCTCAGTACAGGAACAGGGTACACAGCGCATAGAGGCTGCTGTGAGGACAGCCAGGTAGCCAGCAGTCCTTCCTGGGATCATCGATACAGAACACATACTGACCCGGCTGGGGGCCGAGGGGCACATGCAGGGACTGGGCAGTGGGAAATACAGGGCTCGGGTGGTAGGAAGAAGCCAAGGTCCTGCCTTGTCACCATGGTGAGAGAAACATGAAGCTGTTAGCCCACTGCCATTCACTGTACTGCAGCCAACGGGAAGAAAGGAGAGGGCCCGACTGGCGGTGGGGACGGTGCTTACTGCACTCCCGGCCTGCTGCTTCCCAGGCATCCATCCAGGGTGGCTGCCGATGCTTCAAGCCCTCCCACCAGCCTTGGGTGGCGGAGGTTCTGGGGCTGCTGCCAGCCCGGCCCGCACCCCTGCAGTTAGTACCAGCATGGGCTGGGACAGGACACGTTGTAGCTCATACAGCTGCAGAGCGGGCGCTAAACGTCGGGAGTCTCGCCTGCCTTGCGTCTCTTGCAGTGCCCGGCGCGAGGGTGGGTACTGTGGCCTCCTGAGTGTATCCCACTTGGTTGGTTTATAATGTGAATTAGGGGAAGTGTTTTCACCGTGTGCCCGGATTGCATAAATTCCAATGCCAAGGATCGCAGGGTCGGGGCGAGCCAGGCTCCACTTTCTTCCAAGCAGATCCCATCATGAAGCGCCATGCCCTTTTTCCAAAGCATACTTTTCTTTTCCTCCATAGGACATTTGCTCCACAGCAGGGCATAGTGCCTCCTGGCAGGATGTCTGTTGTCACAGGAGTGACACTGCACAGAGATTCAGGCTCCCAGGGAGCTGGACCCGTGATCCTCAAAGGAGGAGGGGTGGCCCACAAACCCGAGCCCTAAGTGGGTGGGAGGCCCTCTGGGAGGAGGGTGCCTGCTGGTTTAACAGCCTCCATACACTTACTTTAGGTCATCAGAAAAGCTCTCTCTGAGGAAAAACGTGTCTCGACAAAGACATCGGCAGCGGACCTCGTGACTGAGACAGACCGCCTGGCGGAGGAGCTGATCGTTTCGGAGCTGCGAAAGCAGTTTCCTTCACACACGTGAGTGTTTGGGCCTGTGGGGACAACTGCAAACCCCAGCGCTCCTCGCAGGGACACAGACCAATGCTGCACCTGCCCTCCTGTTGTCGGGACGCTCCACGCACGTCCTTGTGTGGAGGGGCTCCCTGCAGCACCCACTGACTCAGCTTTGTCTCCAGAAGGCTTGGAAAGACAGCCCAACTCAGACGGCTGGCAGTGGTCACAGCAAGGTGCCCAGCTAGCTAAGGAGTCCAGAGGAGCACAGCTCACAGGGTGGACCAGCAGCCACGTGGGGTCCAAGCCACTGCTGGTGTGAGGACACAGGCCAGGGCAGCCGTCCCCAAAGCCCTCAGAGGACACCACTCTGTCCTTGAGAGCCAAAGCTCTTAACCTTCACCCTGTGGAGGGTTTAATGCAAGCCATTAATCTCTTCCTCAGAAAAGTTCAAATATTTGCCCAGTGTTTTGCATCTGCTTCCGGGGGAGATGCACACCACGGATCTTCTTTGGCTCTAAGCAGCTCCACGCTCACACCACCCCCCTTGAGTTTAAAAACAGCTTACAAACCAGTAATTCCTTGAATGTGGATGTCTCTTCTTCCTTTATTAGATGGGCATCCTTTATTAAAAATATTGAGTTTCTAAAACTGGAATACTGACCATTAGCTTTCTAAAGGACATAAATTACTATACCTGTCAGGCTCCACTCTTCTTGTTGGTTCATTTTTGTCTTTGGAGAGAGGGATTTGCTGTATGACCAGGCTGGCCCCAAACTTGTAGTCGTCCTGCTCAGCCACCTGAGTGCTGGGATTGCAGGCGTGCGCCACTGGGCCTGGCCAGCTTCCACGTTCACACGGTCTTAAGAGGCAGAAGATACAGGACAGTCTCCCTCGGCACATGGTGGGCTTCGTTCAGTTTCCCTGGGGTGAATGAGACGGGCCTTGTGTCCTTTTCTCCTGCAGTTTCCTGGGAACTGGGTAGGTTATCTTGGCTACCTGCCCTCTCTTAGAAGTTCTTTTCTGTTCTGTGGGCAACCTCTGTGTCTGAGCTGCTGTTATTTCTTATTTCCTTACTTAGTTTGAAGTTGAGCCCCGTGGCAGATATTTATAAGCTCTGAAATATTCATGCATTTTTAGTTTTCGAGGCCTAATTATAATGAAATGGCAATGTCAAAAGAATTTATCATTTAGATTGCTTTTATTCTTTGAGAGAAGCACTATGCAGTGGTGGTGACCTAAGAACCGGTGCCGCCATAGGCTTGTCACATCCCTGAGAGCCCTGAAGGCTCCGCCCTCTCTGCGCTTCAGACCCCACCCAACATTCCCGGAGATTTCTCTGCAGAGCAGCTGTGCTGCAGCCGTGGCACCAGTCCAGACTGGCTCACCCAGGCCTGTGGGGAAGGCCTTGTGGTCTCTGTGAGGCCAGGCACAAGGATGCCCCAGGCTTTGGCGCGTGCCCTTTGCACATCTAGTTCTCGTGTCCAGTAGTCATTGTGAATGGCGTGGGTCCACTAGGTGGGAACTGAGGTGTCTACTGTGTGTGTGCAGAGTAGAGGCCACTTCTTATAGGGGGAGCCGCCGAGGCCCAGAGCCCACATGGGACCCTGGGAGGGTGTGTGCGGAGTAGCCGCTCCAGCGGCAGCTCCGTAGGTACGGTGGGCCCGGCGGGGCAGCACCGCACAGACATCCAGGAGCAGTGACAGCGGTGGTGCCCCACCCCCAGCTCTGGCTGCTCCTGGACAGCCCCGGGCTCCAAGGGCCCTGGATGTGGCCAGCCAAAACTGGAGGTCAGGCCTCAGTTTGCTGAAATATTTTAATGAAGGGCTTCTGACCACATCTAAGATTTTATAGTACTAGAATGTAGTTATTTAATTGTTTAGCTCATAACCTAATTGATATATTTTGAGTAAGAGAAAAATGCATATATATTATAAATAGTATAATGTAATTTTTCTCTTTTCAAAATAAATATCCCTAAAAACAGTATGTTGGTAGCAGATTGCCTCTCATTCTGTCATAGGAAGGACTTTTATTCTGAGCATTTGACTTTCCTTGGTTTTAGTCCTTCATAAAATAATTCTGAAGGTGGATCATAGAGTCTTGTTTTTTAATAAAACACAAGACAGCCAATGCCAGCGCAGGCTTCCTGTGCATCTCATGACTTTGTTTTACTTATCTGTAAAAGGCAACATCTCAGATCCCCATCGTGGAAGATAGGTGTGAAGTGGGTCTGAGAGCAATAAGGTCCCGATCTGCTCTGCCCCTCTTGGGCTGCACTCTCACCCCGGAGGGGGGCTCCCAGCTAAGGGCAGCCCTGTGCATGGAATCTGCCTCCTCCTAGGCTGTGGCGATGAAAGAAAGTGACTACACAGGGTAGGTGGGCTTTTCCGGCTGGCTCCGTGGAGCATGCTGTGCCCATGATCTGCCAGCTCAGCATGGGGTGGATGCCGGCTTCCTCGGGCACACAAACCTGTTTCAGACAATCACTTTGAGTTGGACCCAGGGGCACCGGCTTGGAAGTGCCCAGTGCCATTACCGACCCATCTGGATGTGGACCCCACCCCTTCTCCTGAGCCACCTTATCTGAAATTGGCAGAGACAAAGGACAGCAGCTTTAAACTGCCCTGTGTGTCCCTCAGAAGGGACCGATGGCCCAGTGCCCTGCTGTGCGTCCAGCTCAGAGTGGGGCCTGCTAAATGCATGAGTCAAGCAGAGCATGAAGCAGAATCCTCAGCAAAGAAGAAGCATGTTAGGGCTGGGGAGACGGCTCAGTAGAATAAGCGCTTCCCTGGCAGGCACAAGGGCCTGGGTTCAATCCGCGGTTCCACAAAAAAAAAAAAAGAAGCATGTTCCTCCTCCGCCAGCTGGACATGGGCTTCCTTGCAGCCCTTGTCCCAGGCCTTGGGGTCACCCTGGATAGCAGGCTGGCCGGCAAACTCAGGCCCAAGCCTCATGCACCACAGATGTCATTGGTCCTGCGGTCCTCAGGGAGTAGATGGATAGAGTAGCCATGGACACAAAGCCTCAGAAGTATTTGCTGTCAAAATTATAAGGAAAGTTTGTTAAAACTATTTTCTTTAAAAGAAAGAAAAGTAGTTAAATCAAGCTACAGAATGTGTCATTATAACTGGTTACCAGTTGTTGCACTTTATCATTGCCTTTCTCCTCTCCTCTGCTGGAACTGTTTCTGGGATAGTCTCCCAGCTCAGGGTTAGGTGCATGAGTTGGATTTTTCTACGTGTGTGAGGGAGTTCAGGAGATGCCACGCTCACAGCGGCACTCAGACCCACGACTTCTGTGCAGAGAGCTGCAAACACTCTCTCCCACCACGCTTTTGCTTCTAATGTGAAGAAAGTCAGGCCGAGTATGCAAAGGCTCTGGGCCCTTCCCACCCAGCCTGGGCTTTCTGGGAGCCAGGGGGCCTGCTGCAGATTACTGTCCTCGGGCACAGTGAGCAGGACGAGAGGTGCACTGGCCTCCATCTTCAGAGCAGGCAGTTGGGGGCAGACAGACACAGGGATCCGGGGCAGACAGTGACAGCCTGGGCTCAAGTGGCACCGTGAGTACCCCTGTCAGTGTCACACCATGCAGGAGTGTCACCAGCAGGCGTTTCACCAAGAGTCCTGGTCAGCACTCCATGAGTTTGGTCTGTGAGCCACAGACCTGGCCCTGCGTGTCCTGAGAAGTCATGGATGCTAGTAGGGACTGTGTCTGCCAGGCACACGGGTGGAGGCTGGGTGTCAGAGTGCAGACGCTGCATCCTCCTGCTTGAATGAGTGTTGAGAAGGAAAAGGGCTGATCCTTCCTCGCTTTCCTAGTACCTCAACTCTGTGAGTCATCTCTGTTCCCTTCCTCCAGAGAGCCTTGTCTTTCCACTGATCTGATTCACCTCATGTCCAGTGTAAGCACTGGTATGCACATGCCTATGTGTTTGCACGTGTGGTGTGAGTTTTGGGGTATGGACTATTTAAAAACATAATTGCAAGCCACTTTCTTTCAGGAAAAGATAGTCAGGTAGCTGCAGAAGACAGCGTATACAGATCAAGTTCCTGAGGGTCTAGCTGGGAGAAGTGACAGACAGGCCAGTCCCAGGGCTCCCAAGCGCCAGTTTGAACCTGTGGAGACTTGTGTGGGGATGACAGGCTGGGGGCTGCGTCTGGAGGCTGAGGAGAGGTGGAGGCGTGGGGTGCAGGGAAGCAAGGGGCCAAGTGTGAGGCTCTGGGGCTGTGGCTTCCTCACCTTCCTAGGGCTGCAGCTCAGCCTGGCCTGGCCAGCACCCTCCAGGGCCCAAGGGTGCTGCAGCAGGCAGGGTGCTGGGCACGTGACATGCACCTCACCCAGGTGTGCCGTCAGCTCCTCTGTCTGTACCACAGCACACAGTGCTCAAGGCCATCCTGGTTGCAGGGCCAGAGAATGCACTCACTCCCCTGAAGACAGGCAGGGTCATCGTCGGCAGAGACTTCCTCCCAAGTAGGGGCCCAGGGCCTGCCTCTGAGTGCAGGGACAGAGGCTGGGGCTGGGCCATGTCCCTGGCAGGAGTACCCAGGAGGCCACCTAGGGAGGGGCTTCCATGGGGACCCAGGAGGCATGGACGGGAAGTATGTTAAAGCCCACCCTACTTTTTCCACAGGGAAGCTGAGCCCAGGGAAGTGTAAAAATAAGGAGTGGGGAGGACAGATAGAGGGCCCTTGAGCTGGGTAGCCAGCCATGGTCCCCTTGTCCCTGGGGGCTGCAGCGCCAGCTGGCCCTCCGTGTGTGGTCACTGCACTACAGCAGGAGAGCTGCAACCCCCAGGCCATGCCCCTCACACCTGCTGCTAAGCAGGGTACCGACTCTGCACCCTGCATCTCCCCGCTGGCCTGCTGCAGGCCCGGGCTCTCCAAGAATGCCCATGCTCAGTGTCCCTCTGGTTGGCCTGCCTGAGCCACACTGAGCGATGCCGCACCGTCACTGCCTTCCCGAGTCTCGCTGAGGCTATGGCAGGCGGATCAAGACTCTGCCGCAGCTCACGCCAAGCGCAGTCCCAACACCTCTGCACTGCACCTCCTCTGTCCTGAAGGCAGCAGGGCGCAGCCTGAGATTTGCAGCCTCGTGTTCCTAGCTGTTTTTCTCAGGCTGAATCCCCACTACAGGTTCATTGCAGAGGAGGCCACAGCCGCTGGGGCCAAGTGTGAGCTCACCTCCAGCCCCACCTGGATCATTGATCCCATCGATGGCACCTGCAACTTCGTGCACAGGTGAGTGAGACAGGCTTGCCCTCCACAAGGCCTGTCCTCTGCTCTGCTCTGCCTTCTCAATAGCAGCAGGCTGAAGGCGGGGTGCATGAGCAAGCCTGGAAGGGAGGCAGGTAGGCTCAGCGTTCTGAGGGCTTCCATCGTGAGAGCTCCCTGGAACAGAACAGCAGCCCTGCTTCAAATGTGTTTCAGATGTTTGCTTGAATTTAAGAAGGGCCCCTTTGGGGCTGTGCCCTCCAGAGAGAGCCCACTGAGTCGGGGGGGGGGCAGGGCTTAGGGGACTTGGCTGCAGCCCTGAAGGTGACAGCTTCCACCAAGGACTAGGAGCCCCTTGTCTCCCACTGCACCCACAGCAGAGACGCTGCTGGCTAAGCCTGACCCATGGGAAAGGTCTCCCCTGGACTCTAGTGACCCATGGCTTCCGGTGGTTCCCTCTGCCACCCTCAGGAGCAGGCAGAGAGGCTGCTGGGAAAGAGCACAACTGGAAACAGGCTCACTGTGGTGCACATCATGGTGTGCCGTCACTGTGGCCTCAGCAGTCACCTCGTGGCCGGAGCCATGCGGAGCACTGTGCCTGGGTGCTGGCTGCACAGTAGGCACTCAAGGAGAAGCAGACCCAGCCTGGCCTGCCGGCACCCCACACGCCCTGGGGCAGGGTCTTGTTCCCACGTGTCTGCATTTGGATTTTTGCCCGTTAGTCTGTGGTCCTTGACCCTTGCTCATTCCTTCTTGTTTTTATGCTCCAGTAATCTTTACATAAAAGAGGTTATTTTGAGCAGAAACAACATCACCAAATGAAACCACAGCCACCCTAGCAAGAGCCATCCTCTGCTCGCCTGTGCAGGGCTGCAGGGACTCAGGCAGGGACAGGGATCCACACCACAGCCACCCGGAGCCCCCGCCACGCTCCTGGTGTTGGGGTCACTGCTGGAGCCTACCCTCTCATGCAGCTCTCGGGGTGCAGCTGTCTTGGAGGTTGGCAGCCTCACCTGGCCCCAGCTTACCAGCTCACTGTGGCTGGCGGAGGAGGCAGTTAGCAAAGTAGTGGGAAGCTGTTTTCAAGAACAAACCCAGCAGAGTGTGGAAAGGACTTGGACACCTAGGGGCAATGCCACGTGGACTTGGGAGCTGCTGCCCTGCGTCACGCGCACTGTCTGTCCCTGCAGGTTCCCCGAGGTGGCAGTCAGCATCGGATTTGCTGTTCACAGAGAGGTAGGCAGTGGTCCTGCTTCAGCCTCCTCCATCCTGCTGCTCTTTGCTGTGTGCCTTGGCCGGGAGGAGGAAGCCCAAGTGTGTGGGGCCACATCGGTCCCCTGGGGCAGGCCCTGTCCCCACTCGGGCTGCAGGCTACTGTGGAGACCACGTTCCGAGCAGATGGCCATGCTAGTGTCCCTCTGGCCCTCGAGCCTGTGACCTTGTCACAAACAGCAAGAAGCTCCTATTTTTGGATAACCACTCTCATCTCTGCATCTCACTGGATCTTTTTAATCCCCTGGCTATCGGCATGAGAATGGGGCTCCTCTTGGGTTCCCAGGGACCTCTCCAGTCCTGCAGGACCCTAGGGAGGCTGAGCCTGCGTCAGTCCCTCTGAAGAGCTTTGGTCCTTGCAGGTTCCATGATTCTGCAGAAATGGGGCCTGGGGCCTCAAAAGCAGCCCTTGGAGCAGCATGTATCACCTTCATCCTCACTGTCTCAGATTCCCCAGCAGAGAGACAGAGGTCCGCACACTACAACTATCTCCTTTGGCCTTAGTGAGAACTGTAGTGGTGAGCTGGAGAGATAGCTCAGCAGTCTAAGTGCCTGCCCGGCAAGCTCAAGAACCAGGTTTGATCCCCAGTAGCATGTGCCATGCTGGCCCCAGAAACCGGCTGTAGTGGTGCGTGCCTGTGAGATCAGTGCTGGGGAGGTTGAGGCAGGATCACTGTGAGTCCGAGTTGCCTAGCAAGACCCTGTACCGAATGAGTGAATGAATGAATACATACATGAATACAAAAAGAACTGTAGAAGTGAACTTCGGTAAGAAGCCGACAGCTGATGTGTGTCTGTTCAGTGATGTCTTGGAGACCAGGGAGTGCAGGAGGCCTGATAGCACTGGGGGAGACACCAGCACCCCACCCCCAGCAGCAGGAGGGGCTGCAGACAGGAAGATGGCAGGCAGAGACGGTAGCAGCCGGGTCCTCACCTGGCCAGCACTCCCACCAGGGGAGACTGGCCTCGCCCTCCCTCCCAAGCTCTTGGGTCCCCAGCATGGTGCCCAGTGACAGGGTTCCCGCAGCCCTGGGCACCACTCAAGCGGGTAGTGGTCAGGCAAGGAGCTGTAGATACTAAGCAATGCCTTTGCTGTGAGCTAGGGACGCACCCCAACTGAGCAGGCTGTGTGAAGTCACCAGAGTAGGAAGTAGGAAGGGGCTGACACCCTGCTCCTGCCCCCTAACTCCTAGGGTGAGCTGCTGTCTATGTGGCCGAGGCCAGGGCCGTCTGGCAGTACCCGTGGGCCGATCCTGACGTGGGCACTGAGGTCTCCTCGGGGCCTTGCTGAGATTCCTGGGACACCTGTTCCCCTGTAAAATAAGAGGATTTCCTAAGAACCAGCCAAATGTTTTCTATATGTTTGGTGACTAAGGCTTGATCATGATAATTTTAATGTACTTTTATTTGCCTTCATGTATTGTAAAATATAGTTCATTAAGAAAAGGGCTTGCTTTCCCAGCCATGTCTATTTGGGAATCTAGGTGCTAACATGTTCCACCCTCTTTCAGGTGGGTCAGTTCTGTCCCCTGCTCTGGGTAGCCCTAGCACTGTCACTGTGACTGCCCACATCCAACAATGACTTCCTTGTTTCCTTCTGCCCGCAGCTGGAGTTCGGTGTGGTTCACCACTGCATGGAGGAGCGGCTGTACACCGCCCGTAGGGGCCACGGCGCCTTCTGCAATGGCCAGCGATTGTGTGTCTCGGGGGAGACAGGTGGGCTCCCAGGGGACAGGGCTGCGGTCCAGGGGTGGTGGGGCACCCGCAGTGAGGGGGGAGCCTCCCACCGAGGGCCCTCCTTGCTCCAGAACACTGTTCCTGGTGGAACCAGACCTCAGATCTGTTCTGTCCATCTGTGTGGCTGAGGGGACAGGGACTCAGAGAGTCTTTTGAGTCTTGTCTGCCTTGCACTCACATCTGTCAGGCTCAGGAGCCCAGTCAGCAGGCAACTTGGTCTCCACCCAGACCAGGGATGGGCTGTGGCCTCAGCCCTTCCACATGCTGACGTGCATCCTCACAGGATTCTAAACAGAATTTTCCGCAAAAATGACTTGTGTTTTTCAACTTATTTAGGTCAAAGTCAAAAATAGCCAAGTTAAAGTGAGCAATGAGTGACATTCAGTATGTCCACAAGCCATGCACCTCAAGCTCCGGCGAGGTCTCGAGCCCTCGTGCCCAGAGCGGCTCCTGTCGGGCCTGCCACGCCTGCAATGTAGGCCTTTACGTAAAGGAAGTGATCTGATCTTCACGTGAGTAGATCACGGTGGTCACTGGCCAGCCTCAGGCGACACAGGGGCACTGGTGCAAATGTGGTCCCCAGAGCACGGCGCAGGCAGAACGGGGCCAGGACATCCTGGCAGGGGCACTGGCACCTGGGAGGGAGCATTTCCTGCCACAGGCCGCAAGCCCACCGGGCCAGAGGCCACAGGCCGCAAGCCACCGGGCCAGAGGCCACAGGCCGCAAGCCCACCGGGCCAGAGGCCAGGCCCTGAAGTCTCAGGTGCCGAAGGCCACACGCTTTCCTCAGTGAGCTGCTTGCTGGGAGTGTTGCCACAGTGACCGACACCCGTCTCCTTTTCCAAGGGAGAAGTTTCCAGAAAGATAATAACAGGACTATTCGCTACTATTACTTAGTAGCTTAGTGCTACTTAGTGCTATTCAACCGGAATAAGGGTTTTCAAATAGTCAGAAGTCAGATTCATTTTTTTTCATTTGCCCTAAACTCTGCTTTACTGAAAATATACATAGGGCTGGCCAAATAGCTCAACGGATTAAAGTGCCTGCTTAGGCAGATGCAGTGGCCAGGGTTTGATCCCCGTGTGCCGTGTGAGCTCCACCTCTGGGACATGCTGAAATGGCAATTGAGACTGGGCATGGTGGCGCGCACCTGTTCTCCCAGCTCCTGGGGGCTGAACACAGGTGAATCACTACGAGTCTGATCTACATAGTAAGACTGTGTAGACCCTATACTAAAATAAAATTTAAAAAAAAAAAACCGCACACACACAAGAGGCTGAGGCAGTAGGATTGTTGTGAGTTTGAGGCCAGCCTGGGCTACAAAGTGAGCTCAAAGCCAGCCTGAACTGCATAGTGAGACCCTCTCTCAAAAAGATTAAAGGCCAGCCAGATAGCTCAGCAGATTAAAGTGCCTGCTTTGGCAGATGCAGGGACTGGGGTTCAATCCCTGGCGTGCCATGCCAGCCCCACCCTCGGGGGGTGCTGAGACTACAGCTGAGACTGGGCATGGTGGCACTGGTCTGTAATCCCAGTGCTTAGGAGGCCGAAAACAGGAGAATCACTATGAGCCCAATCTGTGCAATGAGACCCTGTAGACCCTGCACTAAATACATTGAGAAAAAAAAAAAAAAAAAAGACACTTTAAAAGTTCTGTTTGAAAATCCAGGAGCCAGGGAGATAGATCAGTGGCATAAGTGTTTACCTGGCAGGCACAAAGTCCTGAATTCTGTCCTCAGTACCAAGAAAGGAGAGAGAGAGAGAGAGAGAGAGAGAGAGAGAGAGAGAGAGACCGACCGACCGACCGACCGACCGTCAGATCTGTGTCACTGTGATGAAACATGCATGCACGAAATTGGCACCTCAGTAATTCTTTCACGTGTTCTTCAGTGGCATTCATTAAATCCACAGTATCATGTAACTCTACAGTAATAGATTTCTGAAATTTTTGTTACCTCAGGCAGGAACTCCATTCCTGCCACCCCACCTCCCAAGAAATCACAGAATTTTTCAAATTAAATCCGCCTATATATTAGTATCTGATGAGGAGCTAAAATATTATGGCAAGTATAAGACAAAGAGAAATAAAATACAAGAATCACAAAACTTGTGGGTAACTGGTTTGAACTAGCCATCATGGAGAATGATACTAAGTAGCGGGGATTATGATGAATTAGCTTTCCTTCCCTTTTTCTGAGGCAAATAACTCAGAAGGCATTTTGCCTGTAGGCGTGAGGCTCAAGGACTCGCGGCAGAGTTGGTGCTTCGCTGTGAGCTGGGTTGGCAAGCAACCTCGACAGCTCAGTGAGGACAGGGCTGGAAGCCGGTGCTAGCGTGCCTGCCCGGTATGCTTGAGCCCTGGATTCAGCCCCAGTACTGGGGAAAATATGTATGCACAGAGCATTTTGTTGGGTATGTGTGAGGTGGGAAGCTGGATGTGCAGACTGGGGAGGGCAGGGCAGACGCCCCTTGCTGTCTCCTGTTTCCCTGAGGCCGCAGGACAGGCAGCCGCTGACCCCTGCCTCTCTCCTCTGGTACCTGGGTGTTTCAGAGCAGGTTTTGTTTCCCAGCCCAGCTGAGCAACCGCACAGTCTCCACACGCACACACCCTCACGAGCGCCCCCTCCAGCCCGAGAGCTGTGCTGACCCCTGCTGTTGCTGGAGCCCCTAGTGTCCAGGGGCCCATCCTGCCGCCGTGCCTTCTGTGGTGCGGTCCCACCATGCTGAGTGCCTGGCAGGAATGACCCTGGTGTCTCAGAAGCATGTAGTTGGAGCCAAGAGCCGAGCAGCAGAAGGGGGTTTCGGAGTGGAGAGGGGCAGTGCGTCTACTCCCCGCTGTGGCACAGCCGCATTTGCTGTCTGAGCATCTGTGTGGCCCGAGACGGCCCGACAGGGCCGGGGAGGCAGTGGGGCACAGTGGGGCACAGTGCGGCATCTGACCCCGCCACTCTCCAGCACCTCGCTCGGCCAGTCAGCATCCCCGTTGTCTCCCGCCACAGGAGACAGCTTCTGGGGACACCGTGCAGTTTGCAGGTGCCTGACCCCTTCGCAGAGGTGACCTTACCTCTGTGTTTCCATCTTTGGGATCCCACCAGATGAAGAAAGTCCATATTAAAACCTTGCCAAAAAATGTTTCAGATGAGGCATTTTCCCCGCCAAATCTGTCCCTTCCATCTGTCTGTCTGTCTGTCTGTGTCTGTGTTTCTGGTACTGGGCATCAACGCAGGGAGCTCACACCGAGCTGCATCTAGCTGCTTGGCCCTATCTTCCCTTTCTTCTGAAGACAGGATTCTCTAATTGCCTGGCTGGGCTCCAGTTTTGCATCCCCTGTCTCAGTGTCCTGTGTACCTTGGAGCACAGATGTCACTGCTGGACCTGGCGTCACCTGGTCCCTTGTGTGGCAAGGGTGAATTCCTGAGCCACAGGGGAGGCCTAGAGTGCAGAGCACTGACGGTGACGCCCCTGGGCATGCCCTGGTCCTGCAGGGCGCGCAGACCCTGACTCTGCCCCTCGGGAATTCTGTCCTGCAGATCTCTCCAAGGCCCTGATTCTGACGGAAATCGGTGCCAAGCGGGACCCCGCCACGCTGAGGCTGCTCCTGAGCAACATGGAGCAGCTGCTACTCGCCAAGGCCCACGGGTATGGACACAGGCTCCAGGGCACGGGTTCTGGGTTCTAGAGAGCCCTGTGCTGCGCTGGGCACACAGGCAGGGGCAGGAGGGTACAGGCTCCATGTGGGCGCGGGGTCTGCCCTGAGGGCCCAGGCCAGAGACCTCATCTCCTGCACAAGCCATGCTCCGTTCTTCTTCTCTGATGTCCATGAGTGCATGGGGGGAGGGGGTCCGTGCAGCACACATGCACACACAGCTACACGTGCATGGGCTGTGAGTCACCACGAGAGGAACTCAACCTGGCTGGCCGCACCTAGCTGCACCAGTGCCAACCACCAGGCTGTGGGGCGCTGTGGCGTGGGGCCCTGCATGGGCCCTTCCCCTGCTCCCACCTTCTGCCCCCAAGAACACAGGACAGCGTCCCGCCACCTCCCCTTTCCCCTCCCAGGATCCGGGTCATCGGCAGCTCCACCTTGGCGCTCTGCCGCCTGGCCGCAGGGGCTGCTGATGCCTATTACCAGTTTGGCCTGCACTGCTGGGACCTGGCAGCTGCCACAGTCATCATCAGAGAAGCAGGCGGCACTGTAATAGACACCACAGGTATGCTGTGTGCTCCAAACCCCATGCTGGGCCCATCGCAAAAAGGGGCACAGGTGACGCTGGGACAGGCTCTCCAGAGAGCCCAGCGTGGATCCCACGGCCCACGAGCAGCACTCCATAGTCATGTATAACTCCCTGGCATGTTTCCAGGGGTGCCAAGGCCCCAAGGGGCCCCAGTGAGGTGGACAGAGCATCTAGCATGTTCCCCCAGGTTTGTGCTTCTTGGTTTTGTGGTACTAGAGATTAAAGCCATGGACTTCACATCCCCATGCTTTTCTTTTTCCTGCGGAACCAGGGATTGAACTCAGACCCTTGTGCTTGCCAGGCAAGCACTTGTTCTACTGAGCTATCTCCCTGGCCTCTTAAATCTTATTTTGAGACAATATCTGGCTAAATTCAATTCCTGAGCCTGCCCGTGCCGGCCCCACCCCCTGGGACGTGCTGAGAAAGCAATTGAGATTGGGCGTGGTGGTGTACACTTGTCATCCCAGCTCTTAGCAGGCTGTAAACAGGCAGATAGATCACTATAAGTCTGATCTAGTAGTGAGAGCCTGAACACCCTGTAGACCCTTCCCTAAAATACAAAAAAAAATCATCTGACTAAGGTGCCCAGGCTGGGTTTGTACTTGCAGCCATCCTGCCTCAGCCTCACAGAGTGCTGGAATGAGGGGCATGGAGCCCCATACCTGGCTTCCCACCAAGCTTTGAAGTTAGGCATTTCCCCAAGATCCATCAATAGACCGAGGTCAGCACCAGCACCAGCATGGGTGTCCTGCTGGGCTGTAGGAGAGTGGCTCCGCAGGGTAGCGTGTTCCTCCTGTCTCAGAACCGCAGCTCCTGGGCCGAGCATGCACCTCTGCTCCCTGGGGCCTGTGCACCGTTTCCTGCCACCTAAGGTCTGGGAGCAGGAGCCCGGTAGGGGCTGTTCTCTGCTGGCCCTGGCCCAGTGCGTAGCATGCAGTGTATCACAGTCGGAGTCATCCTGTCCTCCTGCCCCTGTCAGCCCAGAGGGAAGTATGAGCCCAGCACCAAGTCACAGGCCAGCTTCCTGCTGGAAGCGAGCACTGCACAGTTCCGAGTGCACCCGCCGGCCCTCCTGATCCGACACCCTCACAGCTGCCAGTGTGACCGAGTGGCAGCCAGGGGTGTGGTGGAGAGAGGCCCGGCCAGCTGGACTGTCCCTGTCCCTGAGTGTCACAGGACCTGACACTCTCAGAGCCAAGGGTCTGGTTCCCACCCGGAAACGCAGGGGCTCAGGGCTCCCTACACTCCTGCCAGACTCCCGTAGTGCCCTGGGACCCCCTTCTGGGGCTGTGGGGAGCTCCACCCAGTAACTGACATCTGTCTGTCCCTAGGTGGACCCCTTGACCTCATGTCACGCAGAGTGGTTGCCGCAGGTACCCAGAAGATGGCCACACTTGTTGCCCAGGCCTTACAGCCGATCAGCTGCGGGCGGGACGACTGAGGACCAGTCCCACCCAGAGCAGCTCTGTCGGCCCAGGCTGCACACCCAGTCGTCACTAGCCACCGGCCTCTCCAGGGCCAGGCGTCCTACCGGTCTCTCTCTGGTGCCCCCAAAGTCTCAGGTTCTGAGCATCCCCCAGGGCCAGCCCCGGCCTGTAGGGAATGCACATTGTTCACCCAGCCTCAGGTAATGCATAGAAAACGCAGGGCCCTGCTGTCCTCAGGGCACCAGTCCACCATGCAATAAACCAGCACTGGCTCACCACTCAGCCTGCCGTGTTACCACTCCCCAAGCACCACCAGGCCTTGCTGCAGACGGGATCGCAGGGAGGCTCGATTGTCCACAGGCAGCTGGCCGCAGTCTGCGCGCAGGACAGGCGCCCCGAGAGCCAGCTCAGCAGTCGCCGTGCTGGGCTGTGGGCTCCCAGAGGTCCACACACTGCTCCAGACCACACCCCAAGAGCTGAGTGGTGCAGTGGCAAGCGACAATAAGGTACTGTCAGGGCCTCACACTTCACAGCTCCCCGTGTGGACAGTGATCCTGAGAGCTGACAGCCCAGGCCCCTCTGCCAAGATGTGAGCTTTGAGGAAGCTGGCTTCAGACAGAAATGCTCAGCACTGTCACCTTAGCACTCACAGATCGGGGGTTCCCTGGCATCACTGTCACTGGCCGCCCAGCCCACCCTCAGGTGGCTCCTGTTACCTCTGCCACCCTCCCCTACCAAACCCTGACTCTTGGCAGGGGCAGGTCCCAGCCAGCTGTGTGGCCTCTGCCCAGGACACCAGGAACATGAGAGACCCCACACGGGAGCAGCCACTGCAGGTGGCCTCACTCCACCTGCCATGGGTGTTTTGGGATGCATTTGCTGTCTGGAGAGGGCTCCTGAGGAAGCTGTGACTGTTCCCAACTTGTCAAGCCCTTCCCTGGAGTCAGGCTGAAACTGGGCACAGCTAGGCCCTCCGTAACTCAGCCGGCCGCGGCCAATGTGTAGGGAGCACAGCCTCTGAAACTTTGCAGAAACCAGGGAGAAGACTGTGCCTCAGCAGGCTCCCCACAGTGGAGGCCCTGGCACACACCCTGGCCAGGCTCGAGCCTGGCCTGAGCTATGTCTGCCCCCTGCCAGATGCAAGGGGAAGCAGGGGCTGGTGAAAGCCAGCAGTCCCTGGCTCCCCTCAGCTGCCTGTGCCTGCAGCCGTGGACAGGGCAGAAGGGCAGTGTGCTCAGACAGTGCTAAGAGCTGAGACAGAACTCTTGGCACTCAGCTTCATATCCACATGCAGGCACCTGGATGGCCAGCTTGGGGATGCCCCTCTTCTACTTGGTGCCCAATACTTTGAGTTGGAAACCTCAGCCAACTACAGCTGGCTGCTGGCACCTGGTGACCCAGGATCTGGCAGGGTGTGCGCCTGGCCTGGCCTGGGACCACGTGCTCTGAGCCACTCAGGGTCTCCAGAATGACAGCCCTGACTCCCTAGCGTCAAGGAATATGCTGTACCCCGGCAGCCTGCCAGGCCTAGGTGGGGCAGGGACCGACCACAGTGGTGGAGGAGGAGCCTGAAGTGAAACCCATGTGACCCAGGAGGAAAGGGAACCAGAGAGCAAGACCAAGACATTACTGGAAAGAAATCTGGGGCGTGCGCACGTGGCACCTCGCAGGTGCTCCTTAGCAGCGTGAAAAATGTTGGTGTGCATCACAGAGTCATTTGGAGGCTGACAGTGAAGGTGGCTCAAGGGAGCATATATAGTCAAGACTCAGGACTCCAAGGGCCAGCTGCAGGGTGCAGGCAGCCACAGAGCAGGGCATGACCGCAGCGAGTCACCCAGTTCAGTTCCCAGCCATTCCTGGACCCTCCCTCCAGGACTTGGGGCCTGTGTCGGACACTGCACGCTCCCACCATTCCATCACAGTGAGGCTGGGCTTCCGCGTCCTGTAGCCCTGTTGTCGTGGGCAAAGAGCCTGCCGCCTCTGTGTGACGTCCTGGTGAAGAGCCCGTGCACAGTGCTAAGCGTGTGCCCTGGTCTTTCCCAGCCCAGCCCCGGCCAGCTTGAGGTGACTCAATTCACAGAGGTGGTTGTATTTCTTTGCAGCCCTGTGGATTGAATCCAGGACCTTTGCACTGAGCTACATCCTCAGCCCTTTATAATTCTTTATTTTGAGATGGTCTCTCTGAGTCACTAAGTTGCCTAAAGTGGGCTCGAATTTAAAATCCTCCTGCCCCAACCTCCCAGAGTCCAGGGATTACAGACCAATGTCACCACATCCAGCAACAGAATAGATCCCTAAACAACTAGATGAACTGATTTCTGCGGCCTAAGAGGTTTGGAATATGAAGTTCTGTAACATCTTAACAGGCCTAGAAACACGGGGCAGGAGGACTTTGGGAACAGCAGAGGGCGCCACTCCACAGTGGGTGACCTGCTGCTCACACAACCCTGGACACCTCTTAAGTCACATCACCCTGCCCCCGCCCCCCCGGAGCAGAGACAGCGCGTGTGCTGGGTATTGCTTCACATCCAGCTTTGGGCTGTAGGTGACTCCAACCAGGACAGGCTCCAGGCCACCGATGCCCGAGGCTGACAGGGCTGGTGTCAGGCGTCCCCAGACTGCATCCAGTAGAGCAGTCTGGGGGACAGAGCAGGTGACCGCGAGTGGATCCAGGAGCCTGCACCCAGAGTCAGGAGCAGGACAAGAACAGGCTAGGGCAGCAGTCGAGCTCCTGTGTAGGAGACACAGCCCTGGGCAGGGCTTCTGCCTGTGGATGGTCATGGAGGTCTCCACACATGCGTCCTACATGCAAGGTCTCATGTCCAGCCATCCCAGGGCAGGGCAAGGGACAGCAGGAGGAAAGGCTGTAGGCACAGAAGGGACAGGCCACACTTTGTGCTGAGCACGCAGTGTCCCTGGGCTCTGGACCTCCAGGGGAGAAGGGCGGTGCTCGAAGCCACATCCTCCCCCCCCACCCCCACCCCTGCCATGAGACTGGCCTGTCAATGTAGAGAGAACTAGGGCTATGATACCGGAGTGAGAAGTGGGTCCCAAGATCTATAGATCAAGCCCCAGTTACAGGCCTGCCCCACCTAGGCCTGGCAGGCTGCCAGGGTACAGCATATTCCTTGACACTAGGGAGTCAGGGCTGTCATTCTGGAGACCCTGAGTGGCTCAGAGCACGTGGTCCCAGGTGCACACCCTGCCAGATCCTGGGTCACCAGGTGCCAGCAGCCAGCTGTAGCTGGCTGAGGTTTCCAAGTTGAAGTATCGGGCACCAAGTAGAAGAGGGGCATCCCCAAGCTGGCCAAGGGCCTGCTCTGGACTACAGGTGACTCCTACCTTCCCCCTGGGCAGAAGCCGTGCCAAGTGTCTCCCAGGTACTCGAAGCTGAGTCACACATCAAGGTAGGGAGGTTTGCATTTGGGTGTTTTGTTTTTTCCAGTTTTCAACAAGAATCAAATTAAAGCCCTTAACACATATTGCTATTAAGATAGATAGCTCCAGGCCAGGCACGGTGACAGCTCCTTAGCAGGCTGGGGCAGGAGGATCACAAGCTCAAGCCCAGCCTGGACAACTTAGACCTGGTGAGTGTGGCTCAGGGGCGGGAGCACTCCCCCTCCAGCACTGCTACAAAAGAAAGACAAGCGGGGCCGGGGAGATAGCTCAGTAGAATAAGCGCTTGCCTGGAAAGCACAAGCGCCTGAGTTCAATCCCCAGGGTATGACGTCTTGGTTGTAGACTGCGCTCTCCTGGGGACCCACAAAGTGGAGTCTGAGGCTCAGCTCAGACGTAGCAGCCCCTCATCCAGCTCACGTAGCACCAGGGCTCCCAGGTGCACAGGCCCAGTGTCCCCCGTTCATGTTCCTGCCCCAAACTGACCTCGTCATCCTCAGTGGGAAGTGTACCGCCCTAGAGGAGGGGACCCTGGTGATGTCGAACCTCCAAATGATGTAAGGAAAATATAACTCCCAACCTGCTGGATGTCAGATACACCAAGTCTGTGTTCCCCAAATTCGAAGAATTAATTCTGAGGAACTATGGAGGCTAAGTGTAGGAAATGTTATTGAGGGAGAGACAGCTCCGGAGAATAGCAGTAGGTGAGGGCAAGTGAATGGCTGTGGACCCCACTTTCCAGAGGAAGTTTTATAGAGCAAAATCACGAGGTAGATACAGCCTGGGACAAAACTATGACTAACCAATAGGATTACAAGCATAGCAGCATAGGTAATGCTAATCCAGGGGGAAGCAGGTTGGACAGCAAGTGTGCACGGAAAGGACGGGACCTCTTTAGGAAGGGGTGGATCAGGAAGGTCCTGTCACCCACCCCAGTGACTGATGTCAACCTAGACTTCCTTCTATGTCTGTCTCAAGGCCTGGCCTTGGACAGATGTGCCTCCAGCCACAGCTGGGCCACACTGTCATCGAGGGCTCAGCCTGCCTGCCTGCCTGCCTGGAGTGTCACTACCTAACTGGCCACTACCATGCTGGGGCGGTGCGCCCAAGGGCCGAGAGCAGTGGCTGCACCCACGGAGCCTTCCTGGGCCAGCGAGCTGACTATCACTGGGCTCAGGGCTGGGCCCTGCCTGGGTTGTTCTCCAAGACTGAGACTCTGTCACCCCCACCCTGAAAGTTAAGCTGAAAAACAACTTTAATACCTGTGCACAGGAGCTCACAGAGACAACACTGGGGGAGCACAGGTAAAGCCCACTGCGTGTGACAACAGGAGGGGATGGCAGGGCATGAAGCAGGCCAGCAAGTGTGTGACCTCCTACTCTAGGATAGGCAGAGTGAAGCCGCAGCAGCGGCCTGGACAGCCGTGAGCCCTGGGCCAGAAGCACAGCTCACCTGCTACAGAGCACTGTAGAAAGCATGGGCTAGGCCAGGCATGGTGGCACACATCTGTGATCCTGGTGCTCTAGGAGGCTGAGGAAGGAGGATCACAAGTTTAAGCCTAGACTGAGGGGCTTAGACCCTGTCTCAAAAAAAAGCTAGGGCTGTGGCCCTGGGCTTAGTTCCCCATATGGCCAAAAAGAAAGCCTAAGCTGTCACCCCCACAAAGGCCCTATGCACCGAGCCCTGCACAGACATCACCAGTCCACCACTGCAGCTGCAGCCACTAAATCTGCGGAGCCAGGCCCACGGTCGCTCGCTCAGGCCGGCACTAGTGGAGCCAGGGTCTTTGCTGTGAATGTGCCCCGCTGTCAGAGGTGGGGACTGGCGCCGAGGCCCTGTGCCGTGC